TACCCCATCATTACCTTCGGCCGTAGTGATTGGTTACCAAAGGTGCACTGTCTCAATCTACATCCCTAATCCATTAAGATGCTGTAACTGTCAAAAATGAAAAATGATGTAAGCAGAAGACGTTTGCTAGTATTGTGGTATTAAAGGTCATGAGGACCAAAGCGACTGTGATCAAAAAAATTATTGCCAACCCGCGTTGTGTCAACTGTGAGGGAAAGCATGCTGCTCCGTCTCGAGACTGTTCTGGCTGGAATCGCGAAAGAGAGATATTGCGGGTCAAATATACCCGGAGTGTCTCATTCCCGAGGCTAGGAAGATAGTCGAGAGTACAGACGTAGCTGCACCCTCATATGCACAAGCGAATTAAGTCCAGTCGCCGGTTGACAATGTCACAGTCAAAGATGCTTCGGTTCAAGTATCTGAGGAAAGACCTGACTGGGGCTGACTGGGGCTCACAAGTCCCAGACAAGGCTGGCCAACAGAACTTGAGGATCATCATGGGAGATCCATCCCGTTTCACGACCAAAACGAAAACCAATAAACCTCACAAACAACCAACAACGGCACCATCATCAACAGTCAATGTTTCAAAACCACCTTCCTCTTCAGGAGAAAACTCTAAAAAAACTTAGCCCATCTAGGGCACATACGCGTTTGCAGCGATCTCGTTCACTTTCCTCTGTACCTCGATCCCAACTGAGGTCAGAGGTAACATCACCAACAGACCTAAGAAAAAGAATTTAAATAGCCAGGGGCAAATTTGTTGGGCTCGATCTGAATGTCACCTATGGCAAAGGATCAGAGGACCCGACAAACAGGTTTCATGTCCTACTTGATTTCGATGATGAGATGGAGACGAATGCCTCAACGCTTTGTGCTTCGACTCCATCGAAATCCAGTCGAAAAACGAACAATACAATTATCCGACGGAACATCCGCGGATTAAAGGCAAATATAGAAGAATTTATACCCGCCATTTTTCGTCTACACGAAATCATGATCAACATTTCGAAATTTCTCACTCTACAAGAACATTCCAACTTTAGGTAGCAGAGCAGCATGTGGTGCAGCTGTAGCTGTCCATAAAAATATTCCTCACAGAATGATTAAGCTAAACACTAGAATTCCTGTTGTTAATCAGACTAAATTTCCCGGCCTCATTTTTTATTCGAAACTCTCTTTCATACCACATATAAAGAATCTGAAGGATAAGTGTTCAAACAAAACTGGAGGATGGATCTATAGTATAAGGGTAGGCACGCAGTTCTTACCTGCAGTTGCTAGACCCAATCCATAACCAAGGGCTACGCCTAGCCCTTGGAGCTTTTCGAACAACACCTGAAAAAAGCCTGTACGTGGCAGTGAATAAACCATCCGATTATGACAGAATGAAAAACTTGCATTACAGTTTGCAGCTAAATTACAATCAAACCCTAAATATCCTGCTTTTGACCAAGTATTCAACCCAAAGTACCAAAACATATTTACGCAAAACCCAAAACTTCAGCCACCATTTGGTATCCGAATTTCAAATTTCCTACAAGAACTCAACATAAAGTTGACCGACATAGCTGAATTTAACATATCTTATGTTCCTCAATGGACCATACAAACACCTGATTTCAACTTTACATTACATTAGCGAAGGAAATCCAGTGTAATGCCCGAAGAACACAAATCCTCCTTTCTGGAATGCTTTTCGAATTACCCTATTCATACACAACCTCACACCGATGGTTTCAAAGAAGGTGAGAAAGTGGCAGCAGTATGCTGTACTGCTAGTTCTTGCATTTCAGTTCGAATACCAGACGCCGCCTCCATCTTTTCTGGCGAAGCATGGGGACATGGGTTTGGCCCTCGACCATATCGATGAATATCGCATTAAAAAGGATATCATTTGTTCAGACTCTATATCTGCTTACACAGATTACAGTTACGAGATCATAAAAACACACTCGTACAAAGCCTTGCTCTTCGAATATCTCGTATCTTAAAAAAATCTAAAATATTTTACTATGGATTCCAAGCCATGTCGGAATTAAAGGCAACGAATTTGTTAACAGGGAATGCAAAAAATATGTTAAATCTCGAAAAAACAAATACCAAACTACCATATACTGATTTAAAACCTATTGTTCGTACAGCCATTCAAAATGAATGACAGCAACGCTGGTCTCTCGAGACCAGCAACAAACTGTTTAAAGTACAACCGAAACTTAAAACATCTGTTCCCAGTCGGAAAGATCGAAGAGAGGAAGTTGTCCTCTCGACTACGTACTTGGCACACATATCCTACTCATTCGTACCTTTTAAAACGAGAAGATCCACCTTCATGCCACGCAAGTGACACTCTATTCATAGTGGAACATTTCTTTGATGGAATGTTCCGATTTGAAACACATTCGTGATAATTACTTTCGAGTCCCGGATATGAAAACTCTTTTCAGTTCCGTGGACTCGAAGGCATGATTTAACTATTTGAAAGACATTTGTCTATTCTGAAGACTCTGATGTCTTTTAACCCATCTTACCCTCTTTGACGTTAAATACACACATAGTCCATATCTATTCGTTATCTCTGTAAACATTTTTAACTCCATTTTTATTTTAATTATCTACACATACAATGCGAATGCTTTTGAAAATGATTTTTTTTATCTGATTTTATCTTCGCTACTCTACTGTTTGTTTAAAAAACAAAATAATCAAATCGCCATGGCCCTATATGTGTAAAAAAAATTTTTTTTATGAAAGTACATGTTCCCTACTCAAATGGTAAGGACCAAGGAACACTGGAACTATAGATTTATTCAATGCTTGTACTACAGAATGAAAGGGTTTGAAATACCAGACAGGGAAATGACAAAAACAGCGAAACACTTAATTACAAGAGATTTCAGTTTTCATCATAACCCAAAACAGTAAAAGAGCATTTTGTGCAGTTTTGGTCTATACTGAAGAAGAACGGATCTTTGATCAAACTGTCTAAGCCTTGCAGCCGGGTCATCTAATAGACACAAATTGAGAGTGAACGGCAATTGATTCTTTGATAAGATGAATGACACTTCTAAAGGGTCATCAATTATTTCAGATGACCTAAACCATAATTCAGAATTCAAACACTCTCTTCCTTATAGTATTATCTTTGTACTAGGGTTCAGGTCATTGCTAATAAGAAAAAATGAGAATACACGTGATGACGCAGAACACCACAATTTTTGTTTAAGAATTAACTGATTTCTCGGACATTTTTACAGAATTGTGGATTTGCTTCCCTTCGAATTAAAATTGTTAAAAAAGACAACCTTTTTTTTTTGAACAGGACCGTAATGCCTCAATTGTTAAGAGAGGAAAACCTCTAGTAGTTTCATCTTCAAAATGTTCGTTTTCAGATTCTCTTTTGTGCAGATACCTTATGTAGTACTTCGGACAAATACTAACTTCTTCATTTGAGCAATGTATGTCACTTTTAGTCAGTATAACCATAAGCCATTTATATTGTGGATATTTTTTTTTACATTTTGTGTACCTTTACATCTACGAGATTTTGCGAAGATACGATGGCGACCTTTACCAATACATTTACTCTTCATTATGAGATGAATATTAACAAGTGAGTATGAAATATCCCCTAAAAGCAATGTTAACACGAAAGTCTGATGATAAAAGAACACATCCTAAAAAGTGACAAGGATAATACGTTTGATCTTAAAATTCATTGATAACAAAATCTTTATCAATCATCCAATTGACGATGCATATTTGAATTTGGAATTTGATGTGACCTAACATGCGCTAAAAGGTTTATTGTAGGCTTGCAACGGATTTCATTACCAATTTCCTGTAATCAGGTACATTGCATTTTGGTGGACGCCCGGGAGATGTCTTATGCCCTCACCTTTTTGGGTACATAGGGTACGTTGTTGGCAAAATGAATACTTTCCACCACTTTTTTGGACTGAATTTTTGCATACATATTTGAAATAACAGCACTTTTTTATACTATGAACATGTTTGGTATACAAGAATATTAACAAAGAAAAATCCTATATTTTTACATCACAATTTTCTCAAAATGTTCGTTAATCTCGCATTCTGGATGATAAATATATTATTAAAGCACTACATGATTGTTTTCTTCAGAAAAAAAACTATCAAAAAAAAAACCAATTAAAAAAAATCTGTTCAGGTTTAGACACCCATGCTGTAATTAGGTTGATAATCATCTAATTATTTGGTAGAGTGATTCAAAGTTATAACATCGGATGTATAAAGGATTGAAAAGAATTAAAAACAGCAGCATAAATCTCGTTAACAAAAGTTATAAGGGGGCAGGCTACTTTGTGAATTTAACATAGCTGGAAATAGTCCCTTTATACAAAATCTGATTTTCCGGTCTCCAGAATGCTCTATACTAAAATGTGATCCAAGTTATATTGAAAACGAATGTGAAGTATCCTTTTCAAATCCAATTATACATCTTTTCAAAATTTCTATGAAGGGCAGATGGATCCCTAAAGATTTTTTTAAAAGTAAAAATCTAATGGAAACCAAAATCTTCTCTTGGCACGAAATAATGAAAAATAAAAATGGGGTAATTTTAGGACAAATAATGAGTACGCATACATGTATACAATATAATTTGCAAGAAAATGACATCATACATTGTCAGTTGCTTTATACCATCGGAAACGCAATTAAAAATGCCACTTCACAGTTGAATCAGTCTTTTGTTTCGTTTTTGTGTATTTGAAATGTATTTCATGAATGGCACAAGGGATCCTGAGTGTCCTGAAAATCAATCTAGGGGAGGCTGCCGTCACAAAGTTGTTCTATTTGAGGAACAAAATATGTTTTGATGTGTATGTCTTGCCAATTTAATAAATGATGCTAAAACTGCTTAAATAGTTCATGGTAGCCATGCCACACCTCCTTTGTGTAAAGCGGCATAATGGTAATCTCTATTTACAGTTTAAGATCATTAAGAAAAGTTTACTCACCGCATTGAACAACTGCCAGTGTCAAAACGGAGACGAGGCAAATCAGATACATGTTAACCTGAAACAGATTCAAGTGATAAATCAAATTGCGATTTTTTATAAAATTATATTTTATAACATTTTGAATGAAATAACATCATTCATCAATTTCTTGTTATGAAAGAAAGAAGCAATAATACCAAAGTTGAAAATCATCCATTCATGTATTGATATCTTTTGTATATTGACATTAATATTAATTGTACGTGTTGTCCTTTTAATCTGTTACATTGACATTAAATCAGCTTTTCTTGCAAATATCTCAACAACAAAAATGTATCTTACTGAAATGTATCATGTTGGTTTTGTTTATTTCTGCATCATGCACTTGATGTTATCGATGAATAGTACAAAGCCGAACAAGTGTTTTACTTTGATAACGTTTACACTACCCAGTATATATAGTTTGTTTTAATATTTGCTTTAATTTATTAATTTATTATGTATAATAGCTGTTCTTAACAAAATTATGATATGGTCTATATATATATATTTACATTAAGATGATCGATCTCTGCAATGCAAGTATATGTTTTTATACTGTGTAACTATATACTTGTACGATGTAATTGTGATATATGATACTATAAATAAACAAAATAGACTTGACTATATTACTTTCATATTGCTCATTATACGCTTATAATGAAAATGCACAAATTTCCAAAAAAACAAACCAGAATATGCTGGAGGAAAATCTACTTACATGTACTTTTATTATCAGTGTAAACAAATATATATGAATGTATAAGATTATAGTTTTAAAGTTTATAGTGTGTTTTATGACATGATATTTTGCATTCAAATTTGGTATTTTTTTGTTTACAATTTCTCCTTTAATTAACCATATATTATGTTTTCATATGCTGAAGACAAAGCTTTTGAGGTTCGGCATAGCTTGTGCTGTACTATTTTGGATTTATTTATAGCAAAATATATCCAAACTAAACGTACTTCAAAAACTGTATTGTAGCATTGACAGACTACTTTGTTTTATCATAATTCGTGAAACAAACTTCCATCGGCAAATAAAATTATGATTAGAACGATTTAAATTGTGTTGGCAGGAGTGGATGACAGCATAATGATACAAAATCAAAGGCTCCTTAGTCAAGTCAAGTCAAATTACAATATAAAAATATGCTGATACATACCATGTTTGGTGTTCTGTTCCGCACTCGTAAGTGTGGGATGTAGCTGACAGCGCTGGCTTATATATTCAGAGTAGCATAAATTACCAAAGAAACGCGATGAACACCTCGCATACTACTGCGACGGCAAATTTAACGTTGGCAAGACTCATTTGTCAATCCCCAATGTTGCATGGATACCAAATACTTAACCACACCCACTTTACACCCATGGATAGCCAATCAGCATACTGAGATACAATGTACTACGTTAATAATGAAATAAGAAGAGCGTCCATTTAAGGATACCTGTTCGATGCAGGCAAACCCTAGAGAATACCTTTGTAGATTTTCCATGGATATAGTACAGGCAGCAACCACTTAATTTCGTTTTTATTTATCGCTTATCAGGTTGAATCATTATAAGGTTAGTTAGAGGGCAATGTTGTAAACGGTATGATTGACGGTCCAGGGTATTCACATTCAACTCTGACCTCTTTGCATTTTCTTCGAAACAGATTTGTTTATATTTTATCTGCTTTTTCCAGTCTTTAACTAATTATTGTTTTAATAAACGTTTGGTAAGTTGTACATTTCTTTTCAGAAATTATTTTATTAAAACTTTTGCAATGTCGGTTAAATGCTTGAAATTTCAAAAGTAGAGTGGATTACAGTGGTATGATTTTTTTAAATTGTTTAAACTAGTCTATGGAACTTCATACTTTGTTTATGGGTTCACCTTAGTGAGGCGGTGCGTCATGTATCAAAAGTAGGTCACTCTGACCTACATTTTGACCTTTGACCTGCATAAAAGAAAAAAAGAGTTTCTGGGCTCTATCTCCTACACTGCCTACACTCTGACCTACATTTTGACTTTTGACCTGCACCAAAGAAAACGTTTGTCCGGCTTTTATCTACTACGCTACTAGTCACTGGAACTTTATACTTGAAGTATGGGTTCATCTTGGTGAGGCGGTGTGTCGTGTATCAAAGTAGGTCACTCTGTTTTAGATCTGCTACTTCTCTACCAAGTCACTTTCAAAACGTTGGACTGTTATACTATCAGCTATTAAAGACATACTTCAGAACTACTGTGATAGAGCCCGTACACACAATGGAACCAACAAAATTCTTTGTTCTATGTGTTGTGATATGAGTATTTTCCTTGTGTGTTGACTGTGACTGAGTTACTTAAGAATTTGTTTACTTTACTGGATTTTCAGTTGCCATACTGTATGATTCTGATACATTTGTATGCGCATTTAAGATGTAATATTTACTTCTGAATACAATTTACTAGATTCTGGTATTACTCATTCAGTGATAATATGACCAATTCTAAATTTGAATCGGTGAAAAAAAACATTTAAATAAGACATAACACCGATTTAAAACGGGAGAGTTGATTTTGCACCTAGGAATGGTGATACCATTGATTCAAATTAGTGACATTGCCTCTTTGAATCCGTGATATCACTTATTCGTTTGAACGTCTGAATCCTGATATCGCTTACTAAAATAGTGATATACACATTTATACCACCAAATGCAATCAAATAATGAAACGCTGTAGAATACTTAGTGTCACCAGATGTAATTTAATAGTAAAACGGTACCACTAACCAGTAAACATCCACCAGATTTATTTGCAATAGTACCACTGAAACTATTCCTTATTGAATACAGTGGGTCTGCCAAACATTCATATATAGAATAAGTTCCTGCACGTATTTATCATCTGTGTATTTCACATTCGGTAGGGGACTATAACTCGCCGAATTGTCTAGTTATTATTAGTTTTCTTGAATATCTCTACATTATCGTATATATCGTATCTTTGCATTAATCTCGTTAACTTAGTAATGAAATCGATTTCGAGTGAACTTAAAAACTCGTTGATAAAAACGTATACCTAGGTCATACAAAACTCTCAACTGGATCATAACAGATCTTCTCTTGTGCTCAACTTTTATATCTTGAATGTTCTTTCAACATGTCTTCAATGTATTGTAATTTCAATATTGCATCATATCGTCAATTAATTCATTCATCGTGTGTGTTCATTACATTTTACAATTGTGATCGGCTGCAGTTTTAAAATTATCCATTTCAGTGCGATAACACTTTACAGTTACCTTTGAGATACCGATCAATGTACGCATACCGTCTTTGTATAACTACATGTATTTATGCTTATCCGTTGCAAGGACGCAAAACCCTTAACAAACAAACATACAAAGCAATCCAATATATTGCTACTGTCTCTGTACTTTTATTTCAGGTGGATAGAATTCAATCAACGCGTGTAAAGAAACCCATTACTCAAACTAGAAATCGATCATTTAAGGCAAAATTTGAACAACGGAAATGTACATAAAAATGATATAGAGAATTATTCAGAGAATAAGACCAGATGTATAAGATACTTAACTGTATAAATAGTTTTTTTTATTTTCATTTATAATCATGATGATCTACATAAATGCTGCATCAGTCAACACTTTATTTTGAAGGACAGTATGTAACAAATACACTAGGCTCGGATATTCTTATGGTATTCAAAACAACAAATCACAGTACTATTATTACCTGGATATTTTAGTACATTGTGAAGATCGTGGAATGTGTCCATCCTCAAATAAAAAAGCAACATGCTGCCGATATCTAGAGTGATTACCGTCAGAAGTCATGTTATTTCTCAACATTGAGCCGATAACTGATCGTTAGAATGATTGAGGAATGTTCTGCCACCCGTCAAACAGCTGTGTCCGACGCAAATCATCCCAGTTTTAGAGGTCAACGTTGTTTTCTGTCAACTCGTCTCCCAAGGTATTCCCATATGCCCTCAACAGGTTTTCCATATCGGGGTACAAAGATAGTCCAGAGGCAAGACATGACTATGGTGGCTCTGCAGGAATTCCGTACATACTCTGACAGTGCGTGTCCTAACATTGTCTTACTTCAACGTTACAACAAACAATTCGAAGTAGAATTTCGTCACGATACGTTTCTGCCTTAACCGGTCCGTTAAAGACGTGTACGTTTGTTCTATAATTGGACATTTCTTCTCCCGACCGTCTGGTCTCCTCAGCTGAAATCTGGACTCTTTTCGATAGCAAACTGTTTTCCATATAGCATGAACCCACCAGGAATGAATGACGACCTCTTCAAAAGATCTACGAGTAAGAATTTGCCAGACATTAGGTCGACCATCTCGTAGGTGACGTCGGACTGCGTGTGATGATACATAAATAGCTTGTGGCGTAGAAGCTGCTGGCAAGAATCTGTTTCGAAGATACGTGTTTCATATGTGTTCGAAAATGAACAGAACTGACATGTAGACTAAGACGTTAAAATAATGAAAGGTTTGCGAGGGGTGGTTTATGAAATAAATGTTGCATTTGGATGTTGAATTGATTGCTAAAGCAGCTTTGCGCCATCGTTGTAATCCTCAGTGTTCCGGAACGTTGTCAATCCTTAACACTTAATGTTTGTTGGTGCATTAGAAAGAACCTAATAATTGTTGATTAAGCACCGATTATGATGCGTGCAACGTTTCCTGTCGTCGAACCAGCCGGCAACATGCAGAGTATATTGTTCCTGTTAGTTTTTCTAACACGGCATAAAGCTTATGGTTTTTGGTACAGATTTGTGTCGCTACATATCAAAACGTTTGTCAGTACATGTGAAACAGGATTGCCACGTGCAGCAAGGGTAAAGTGCGGTCACACCTGATTGATCCCGTGTCTTAACCTGTCATTGATAGGTAGAGAAATGATACCTCTGCTCATATATATATTTTAGAATGTCACAAACCTAATAAGCTAGGATGTATATCATGTCAAAATATGATGCTTCATTTATACTAATCAGTAAAAGTCTAGTCGTCGCAATATGAAATGTATAGCAAACAAATAATATTGAATAACTCAGTATCGAGAGTTGGTTGATGTAGAACAATTGGTAGTGACCTTGAATTTAAGTTCAGTAGGTTGCACATGATCGACACGGTCGATACATTTCTTTATATCTGAGAATTACAATTAGGCAAGGTTTGCGTTTCCAGCTCTTTAAAAATCAAAATCAATTATACAAAGTATGGCAGAAAGAGGACACAGTTTGTACCCATATGAATGCCTTACATATTTAAGTCTTAAAAACAACGTATACATACCCTGCAACAAAAATATCTACACAGCTGTTTGCCCTTTTAGGAGAGGAAAGCTCTCATAGGACAAGGAAGTCGTTCCTTCAGTTTGGTAGGAGGTATGGTAGTGCATGAAAAACAACGAATGTTCTAAAAACAACTAAGAATAATCAAATGATCTTTCAGTTCTTCAAAAAATCTATGTTAAATCTATGTCTTTACTAGAGTATAAGGGGTATGAATAGCTTGAATAATACACAGAGTTGACCAAAGTACAGAGCCAGCAATAAAATGCTGTCTGTAGAAATTATTGAAAGGATTTAAAGTCTAATACAAAAGTTTGCAGTCAGGAATTAAGTCGTTTGATGATTTCAAAACTATATCTCTTTCATGCAATTCGTAAAGTATGGTTTGGACATAAGAGTTAAACAGGACTCTGAATCATTTTCACTCTCATCATAGAGTATACATTTGTTTGTGTCGGACCATAATATCTTGCACACGTTGGGTGCACGATGAGCGATAGCAACCTCGGTTGGTGTAAATTTTGGAACAGCCTAAGAACATAAATGATTTATGTGTACGTGTCCGTGCCGCAATCAACTTAAGTGATCCAGAAAAATTGCTATGCAATCTATTTCATTTCGTTCGAGTCTTCCGTATGTTTTTCTTTCTGTAATATTAAGCACGCAAGATTCATGAACGATTTTCGTATTTCGATATTTGTGGTGTGTTGTGCGGTCACACAATTGTTGCAAGTACAATTACGTTATCCCACAAAGCACAAAAATAGCATACATGTAGTGTGCGCACACCAAGCATACATTGTGCAAACACCGTGTGATAACATCCACACAAGGTGCGCACTATAGTGCGATTCCACAACCATTTGACATGGTTTGTGCTTCTGCAGGGACAAATGTGCAATCAATAATCCGGAATGAAAAAAATATGGAAAACCCCTGTGAAAATCCATTTGATACATTTAAATTCTTATAAGTATAATTTTCA